ACTCCTCCTCCACTCAGTACTCTCCCTGCCATCTTTGAGTTCTGAAATTTGCTGCAATGTTTCACAGAACTCATGAACTCTCAAGGAAATGGCTTATGCAGTTGTGGAGGTTGGCAGGTCCCAGATCTGTGGGTCAGGCATCAAGCTGGAGGGTTTCTCCTAACTTATGGTAGTTGCAGGGGCTGGCAGTGCAAGGGTGTGATTTGAATAAGGGTAGTGAGGGTGGTGACTTGATTTGTGCCCTCTACTAAGGCGGTGACATCCCATCCTAATCCTGCCTCATTAATATAAAGGACAACTCACTCCCAAATGGGACCATAACTGTCGGCATAGAGGCTAGGATTTACAACACATCTCAAAATGGAAAACAATTACATCATTAAATAATTGCCAAACCACTGAAAATCACGGCCCAGCCAAGTTGACACATACCTTTAAACATCACAGGTTCCACACATTTTATTTGCATTAGCAGCAACCTGTCCAATCACCATGATGGGCCACATATATTATTTGTATAGTCCCACCCAGTCATTGTGTGGGAGTCACAAAGACAATGGCTAGAAAGGCCATATTAAATTCCAGGCAACCATTGGTTTGCTTTCTGTCACTTAAGTTGCATTTGCTATAATTTTATATAAGTGGAAGAAAACGTTATATACTTTTTGTTTGTTTGGCTTCTTTCACTTGAGTTGTTATTTTGAGATTCATTCATGTGGTTGTGTCTATTAGTAGTTTGTTTCATTTTATTGCTGAGATTTAATGCAATTTTTAGACATTTACCTGTTGGTGGGCATTTGGATTGCTTCTAGTTTTTGGTTACTAAAAATAAAGTTGCTATGAACATTTGTGTACAGTGTGGACACATGTTATCATTTCTCTTGGGTCAGAGCCTGTGAGTGGAATGGGGGTTATATGGTAAGTATACTCTTAATGTTTTAAGAAACTGCCAGGCAGTTTTATAAAGTGTGCCATTTTACATTCCTAACAACAATATATGAGAGCTCCATGCTTTGCCAACACTGGGTTTGGTATGTGTCCCCCCAGGTGGTACAAATGGTTAAGAGTTCAACTCACAGAAGAAAGGCCTAGTGATCCGCTTCCAAAAGATCACAGCCACTGAAAACCTATGGAGCATTTCTGAAACACATGGGGTCACAATGAGTCAAAATGGATTAGATGGCAACTGGTTTGGGCTTTTGGTTTTAGTGGATGTGCATTGTTTTTCATTGTGATTTTAATTTGCATTTCCCTAATGACTAATAATGTTGAGCATCTTTTCACATGCTTATTTTGGGCTACCTATTTTTAAATACTCCATTGGTGATAGGGCTGACCCAAAGTCTGGGCAAAAGTACAGTGTTATATAACAAGTGCTATCAAAGAATCTCATTTATCAGCTGACTATGAAATTCTTCTTAACTGACTTGAAATTTCCACACCTAGGGATGTGCCTGACACAAGCTATGATATTTCCAATCGCCTCGTATGCATGTGAGAGCTGGACAATGAATAAGGAAAACTGAAAAAGAGTTGACGCTTTTGAGTTGTGGTGCTGGCGAAGAATGCTGAAAGTACCATGGACTGCTAAAAGAACTAACAGATCTGTCCTGGAGGAAGTGCAGCCAGAATGCTCCTTGGAAGCAAGAATGGCCAGACTTCGTCTCACCTATTTTGGTCATGTTGTCAGAAGGGACCATTCCCTGGAGAAGGATGTCATGCTTGGTAGGGTGGAGGGTCGACAAAAGAGGGGGAGGCCTTCAACGATATGGATTGACACGGTGGCTGCGATGATGGGCTCAAGTATAGCAGGGATTGTGGGGCTGGCGTGGGATTGGGCAGTGTTTCGTTCTGCTGTGCATGGGGTCACTATGAGTCGGAAATGACCCGACGGCACTTAACAACAACAACAACAGGGATAAAATGACTCTTGTGTTAAGAAAACCAGTATAAGAAGCAGTTTCTTGAGAAGATATTTTGAGGTAAAGTGATTATGTTATCTGTAAGTGAAGGGGGGCACTCTGGTGGTGTAGTGCCTAAGGCATTTTACTGCTAACCAGAAGGCTGGTGGTTCAAACCCACCAGCCTCCTCAGAAGGAAGATTGTGCAATCTACTTCTGTAGTGATACTGCCTTGGAAACCCAAGGAGGGGTCACTATGAGTCGGATCTAACTCAATGGCAGTGAGTTTGGTTTTGGCTTTGGTAAGTGAAGGGACATCCCTGGATTTTTTTTTTTTTTTTTTTTTCCCATTTCCTTCCATCAGATTAACTAAAAGTCATTTCAGAAAATACAGACAGTGTGCTTTGAGGGAATGGCAGGGTGGTTGTGGCCCTTAGAGGGAATGAAGAGGAGGGAATAGAGGATAAAAAACTGGAGGAAAAAATTGAAGTGGTACCAGACAGGGCACCCCGTCTGATAAGCACTGGCCAGCATGTCTACAAATTTGGGGAAGTATTGTGGAGTAAGGGGGGCTGAGAGGAGAGGGGGAAGATAACGAACACATGATTAGATCAGGGAAAGCAGACCCCAGATGATGGAGCACCTAAGAGGGGAGTAAGAAGGCTGAGACCGGAAAGAGGGGGGAGATGCTGAAAATAAAATTTACCTCCTTTGTAGTTTTGTTCTAAATTTATTCATAGATTTATTTTAAAGCACTGTTACTTTAAAACAACCATACTTGAGTAGCTTCTTTTCTCAGTCTTCTCTTTTACAAACTGGACTCCTTCAACTTAAGCTTTCCCCTTCTCCCCAATTCTTTCCTTTCAGCTTCTTACAGGAAAAGAAAAAAGAAGGTTTTGTGGTAGCATCCACTGACAGAGTGCTTTTTCCTGACCAGCTTCACAACCATAATCTTCAATGACTCTATTTCTTTGACTTGACAGTATAGCGTACTGGTTAATAGTTCAGGATCGTGATTCAGATGGCCTGGGTTCAGATTCTGACATCTCCATTGATCGGCTGTGTAACTCTGGCAAGTTGCTTAGTCTTTTTATACTTTGATTTCCTCCTATTAAAATTAACAAGAATAGTATTCCCCATCAAGGGAAAGTGATTTACAGGAACAAGATGATTCAAGATGGGGAGTAGTTAAGGAGGAAAAGGAATAAAGAAGTTGTTGTGAGGATTAGATGAATTAATATTTTAAAAGTGTTTAGGACATTGCCAGTCAGATGTTAAGTGCTCAATAAATGTTAGCTATTGATTAAATTTTAACTCCTTAGCACCACTTTCAAGGTGCTCCATGATCTGGCCTCTGCTCATCTAACTGTCTTTTCTATTACTCCCTGTCCACTTCATTGGAGCCTTGCTGATTTCCTCACTGAATTATGAGTCTGTGCATAACTCCGGATGGTTTCCTTTGTTTGGAAGGTCTTTACAATTTGAATCCTATCCAGACTTCAAAGCTCACTTCAAATCCTGTCTTCTCTATTACACTTTATAACTTCTTATTTCTTTTGTTCTCATCAACCATCTTCCCACCTGAATTCACAAGACCATGGAATTCAGTGAATAATTATGCATATTCATTAGTCTTTCATGTAAATCAGCTTTGTCTCTTCAAGAACCTATAAATTCCCTGGGGGTAGGGATAATATCTGATACTTCTGGGCCCTCTTCCAGTGGATTGAGCGTATCACTTTTACTCCATTTCAAGTGGCTGTAAAGAGATAAAATATACGCAGCAGAGGGGTGTGTGGAGAATTCACAGCTTTAATGACAGATTGGTTGGGGTGGGGATGATAGCTTCTGTCGTATCTGTGCCGTTCTCTAAAGGCAGAGACTCTTCCACTAAGATCCAAACAGCCTCCACTTTTTCTGACCCAAGCAAGCAGAGGACACCTTGTTGTTGTTGTTGTTAGGTGCCGTCGAGTTGTTTCCGACTCATAGCGACCCCATGCACAGCAGAACGAAACACTGCCCGATCCTGCATCAGCTCCATGATCCCTGCTATACTTGAGCCCATCATCGCAGCC